AAAACACTCAGAATTTATATAGGTCAGTCTTAAGAATCTAAATTCATTTCTGACACGATGCACTTCCAAATTATTGACGGAAGTTCACGGTGCCTGTTTGTGACCTTCTGTGGTTCTTCCTTGAGTAAAGTTACCACTTTCTGTTTATGGTACCATATCCTGTCCTCCAATAACGGCCAAAAAAATCTATTTACACCAATTCTGTGCATCACTTTAACCTCTAAATCATTTTCATCAACGTCAAGAATCAATCCTGGATATGGCATGTTCTCATATTCTACTACACAGTACAGTCCAATCAATGATTCTTCAACATTAAGAATTTTCTGAAGCACTGAGCTCTGAAAAAAATTAACACAATAATATCTTCATCATATTTTAAGATGAATACAGTTTATCATCGCATACTTTTATATGTGATAGATCTATGCAATTACATGTATAATTAAAATAAAAGTTCCATGGACATTCTGAAACCTGAATAACAATTCATAAATTATATATTGTAAGTTGATTTTTTAAACTCTCTTTCAAAAAACAGAATCATATTAAGCGTATAGATCTATATGTTAATAATTACCGAAATATTCGTTCGTACAGACACAGTGGTGCTAGCACATTCCACTTCAGCAGATGAATTTGGTGTCCCCTGAAAAGAGTTGTAATTTAGAGCTGTACTAAAATAACACACACAAATCAGGTATACTTATTGTAAAAAATTCTAATTAAGGCAATTCTGGTATATTAAACAACTATACTTGTTATATCTATAAAAGTCAAAAACTGAAGCTATAAATGTTTTACAATTTTCTTATGAATATCATCTACAAAAATGACTGTTGACAGTTTGAAAGAGCTACAATCTGATGGATATGTTTGAATTGAGTATTGCTATTTAGCAAAGTATTACCTGTGACAGAAGTGTCGTAGATTTCAGATTAAAACATTCGCAATTCTCTGAACAGAAACAACTCAAAACTCGAGATGACACAACTCCTTTCTGCTTAACAACAATCTGAAAACAAATTAAAGTTAAATTTATATCGACAATGTTATATCGTTTCTATCGTTCAAATGCTTTGTATTAATCACTCAGGCCTACCAGCCTTCGTGATTATATTACAGCACATTTGAACTCGAACTGTGCATTATTCTACAACAAATCACTCAAAATTTAGATCTGTTTCCTAAATTTACTAACTATTGTCCTATTACAGTATAATTTTGTTCTTTTTCAATTAAATTTTAATGAATTATCACTAAATAAACTGATAATGAAATTACAATATTACCTGATGTAGCTTCATTGTCTCTTTAACAGACGGAACATCATCATTAGCCGGTATAGTTCACGAAAGTCGTTACCAGAAATCTCAATCAGTTCTATAGAAGTGCCGTATTTACGAATTCCTGTAAAATAACGATGAATAGGTTAAATCATAAAAAGCTAATTGAATCTTGTATAGCGAATGTATTGTTATGACTTGAAGTGGTTACAGACTATAAGTAAGCTATGATTTTTCTTCAGGCAGAACGATTTAAAGTATTTATAACTTATGAAATATACAAAATAAAAATAATGTAACTGTAATAAACCGTAATTTAGAAGCCATTCTTATATCTGGTTGACGCATTTTTCACATCTGTATGATCACTGAATATTTGTTATATTGCCCTGTGCATTCAACTAGGAATTTATATACATACCTTCAATCAAATCTGCTGTTTTAGTGATATCTTGACCTTTAGTGTTCACAACAGTATCTGCTGTTCTTTTGATGACAGCACCGATGCCATCGGGGGCCCCCTTTCCATGGCTTGCTTCCATAAAGTTCCATGTTCCAGCAGAAAATCCGAGGTCAAAGAGTTTCGTGGAAAACATGTAGAAATTGGACTTACTCCTGTACTGGCTTGTTGGCCCATCAGATATAAAATGTAATATGTTTAAACCAGGGTTTAGTCGTTTCATTTGCTTTATAACTGGTTCAAGGTGGGCCCAGATTCCAACTACTTTATGGGAAGTATTGTCTGATATTGTAGCAAATGCTTTTGACTTCTGGTGAGTATAAGCCATCACGGTATGTATGGAAATTTGTCTCTTGGAGAACCCAAAGTGCACACTTTGTATTTCACTCTTGTATTTACAAAGGTAATTTTCCGAAAAGTCTATATGCAATATTAATTCATTTGTTTTGCATGAATCTTTCAAGTGCTTCAACTGCAAGTATTGATGAGATATGTTGAATTCATGTCTTGCTAATCTCGTTATATCTTGTTGAAGTTCATTAACAAGTGTCGTTATTGTGCCTGTTTCAGTTTTCTTGACTGTTACGTTATGTTTGGTTTTGATAATTTCACCATTTTCAGATATTTTTTCTTTCTCGATCACATCAGATTTCCATTCCCTCCATTCAACTATTTTTCCATAATTTAGGTTTTCTGTTTCTGGTTTTGTGTTAATTTCTTTAAGCTTACACTGATTGCATTGTCTATACATACAATATTTATTCTTTGTATCACATGTAATACATGAAATAAGTTGGCGTAGGTCTTTTGTGTCTAATACCTTTTCATCATATAATTTATTGACTTTCATAGTTGGGTTTTCGTGAGTTTTACAAAGGCATGTTTCTCTATCCTTCTCAGATGCTCTTATAACCCAAAAAGGTTTCATTCGTGCGAAAAGACTATAGCTTATCCGTTTGCCCGTTTCAAAAAGAAATTTTTCGTGGAGATGTTTAATACTGTCATTTAATAGCCTTATTTGTTTCTTTATCTTTCTTCGTGTAATAGTGTATTTTTTGCCTCCTTTAATTCTAGAGTTATCGTCTCTTTCAAAGAAATCATCTATACTAGACTTCAATATGGTTTGTTTTGTCATAGAAATAGTGCGTGACTTTCTGATACGGATTTCGTTTATTCCCGTCTTCTGTTTGGCATAATGCATGCTGATTTTGTATTTTCTAAGAATTGCTTCTCTGTACAGTAAATTCTTAATCAGTTGTTTCTCGGCACTTTCTCCTTTCTTGTATCGTTTTCTTATGTTTCTCAACAACAGACAATAGTGTGTCAAATGTGTTTTCGTTTGTGCTTTCTTTTTCATAATTTTCTGTACTTCATTGTTTATTTCACTGTCAGATTCATCTTTCTTTCTTCTCATTCGATAATACCTTGATTTGTATTTATTCTTTAGTCTTCTTTCTTTATTTAGCTCAATTCTTAATTTAAACTGATCTCTGTAAGCTTTTGATCGATTTAAATTCTTTTTTTTTCTACCTCTTAATCTATTTGACTCACTTAATTGGTTACTTGAAGTTGAACTATACGGATCTGGTGTAGATGGTGGAGACAATTGTGCCTGTAAACCCTTCATTAGTTCTTTATCTTTTTTACGTTTAGATCTTTGGTTATATTTCCAGTTCCTCCTTCTTTTTCTTTGGTCTCTGGCACTCAATTCAGAAATAGACTTTAGCTGACCTGATTCTTTTCTCTTTTGGTACCTTTGTCTTTCTTTTTCTTTGTATGCTACGTGTTTTGCTGGGTCCTCTCTTTGTCGTTTTCTCCATAAGGCAGCGCGTTCTCCACTTGTGAGAGCCATGTTTCATAATGCTGAAGCTGATCACTGAAATTCGATATTTCACTTTTCTTCAGTTTTATACAATCTTGTAAAGTTTCAATTTCTTCTATAAAGTTTTGCACAGATTCAGGGTTCTTTTGTTTGATTTGTTCGATAAATAATTCTGCCTTTTTAATTTGATCATTCAGTATTTCTATCTGTTTCTTCACTCTATTGATGTGTTCTGTAATGAGAGAAAGTATCATGTCATTACCGAAACTTAATTTTACGGGTGTAAAATTGTCAATTGAAATGTTTTCAGTTGTTCTAAATATTTCTGATTTACAAGATTGATGCAAACCATCACTATGGTTTTTATTTAAACACATACTTTTAGATAGAAAATGTGTTTTTGCTTGCAATTATGACATATTATCATAATATATCATATAAACTTCTCCAATAACTTGTTCTGAAAAAACTTATATCTTTTTTCTTAAATCCTGATAACAGTTCACCTAAACATATTAAGAAGAAAAATTTATCAGACAATATGACAAGACATCTGCATATTTATTAACACTTTAGTTAAAAAAGTCATCTCCGAAACATTTTTGTCATTACCAATGCATAAAACCCTGTTTCGGTAATGACTGTTGCGGTAATGACATTTTAAATATTTTTCTCAATAAGCGTCTGAATGGCCCAGACTGTGTAATGTTTACCGTTATATTTTTCAACGTACACATATTTTTTATATACAAATATAGAGCGATTGTGAATAATAGTACAAATTTAGTTGCTATGTAACATTCGGTAATGACTAGATAAAAACATACGCATAAAAATCTGAAACTTACCTGGTAAATTTTCAGCGTCAGCCATTTGCATGTCACATGCGCCCAAAACAAATTTTCGCGCCGATTTCAACTTTTCTATGACGTCACGAGTTATTGACGAATAATAATATCGCTGTCGACTAATTGAGTTTATTTGTGACCGTTTTGGTAATGACATGAATTCAAGTTACCATAAAAAATGAAGTAAATAAATTGAATTGATGTAAATAATATATTTCTGGCTCAAAAATAGACATCTTATATGTCTATTTAATTCCTTTGAATACAAAAAAGAATTGAACTCTTTTAACTAGACGCCCAGTAAGCGTATAAAGATGGATGTTAAAACAAGTGACATTGTTAATTTTGGACCCCTTGTGTGAACAAATCGCAATTTATTGGTCTTTTTGTGAGAAATGAAATAAAAATCAATCACTTTCTACCTTATAATTATGTTTAATTTATATAACAAATAATTTCGATTTCATTTTTATTTCATTTTCATTTAAATAAGAACTCAAGGTGGAGTGACACCGTTTCGGCAAAAAATTTAGAATCACCCAACTCTAGCACCAATATTTTCAGATTTATCTCCCCTTGAACTTAGAATTTTCCTCAAAAAATACTATTTTTACTATTACTTCTTTATTTCTTAAGGAATCAACCTCATACTTCAAATATATGTACCTTATCATCATTCCCATCTTATGTGACAAGGTTCATAACTCTAGCACCAATATTTTCAGATTTATCTCCCCTTGAACTTAGAATTTTCCTTAAAAAATACTATTTTTTACTGTTTCTTCTTTATTTCTTAAGGGATCAACCTCATACTTCAAATATGTGTACCTTATCATCATCCCCATCTTATGTGACAAGGTTCATAACTTTAGCACCAATATTTTCAGATTTATCTCCCCTTGAACTTAGAATTTTCTTTAAAAAATATTATTTTTTACTTTAACTTATTTATTTCTAAAGGGATCAACTTCATACTTCAAATAAATGTACCTTATTATCATCCACATCTTATGTGACAAGTGTCATAACTCTAGCACCAATATTGAAAGAATTATCTCCCCATCAACTTAGATTTTGTTACTAGAAAAATGTTATTTTTTACTATAACTATTTTAGTTTTAAAGGTGTCTACCTCAAACTTCAAATACTTAGTCCTTGTAATCAATTATATTTTATGTGACAATGTTCATAACTCTTGAAGTAATTTTTACAGATTTTTCTCTCTTTGAACTTGGGATTTTCTATCAACATGAAACTTTGTAGGCAGATATATCTCAATGGGTAGATGTGCAGTGCACAAGAGACATAACTCTGCTTGCCTAATTCTGGAGTTATTGCCCTTTGTTTATTTTTACTTTTTAGCTCGACTATACGAAGTATATGGAGAGCTGTCCTACTCGCCCCGGCGTCGGCGTCCGCGTCCGCGTCCAGATTTCAGATTAAAGTTTTGGTGCAGTAAAATATTTTTCACTATAACTTTGTCATTTCTAAAGGTATCAACTTCAAACTTCAAATAAATTCATAACTGGGTGATTCTATAGTTTTTGCCTTTCTGTTGAAAGATCAAAGGCTTGACATCGCAAAATTCTCAACTTCAGTCATTTCATTCATTTATATTGTTATCTAGCATCATTTGATATTGAATTCCGTGCATAGATATTGTCTGATTTTTTATATTTTATAAATGAATCGGGTGAGCAACACTTCAGAGTCATTACCACAACATTTTTTAAATGCAAAATAGTGAAAAAATGGGTAGGGATATCATTTGTTCATACAAGGTTATTCAGTAAAACGACCTATATTACATCTTTTGATTTAATAACACGTTAAATCTATGTTCAGAAAAACTCGTATCATTTGACAAATCAGGAACCTCCATAAAAGTAAAAAAATACCAACATTAGAATATATTTTTCACCTTAATAGGGATACAAATGTTAAAAATTTTTGTTGTATAATAAATGTATAAATGAAATAAATGAGAAATGCTTAAAATTGTCTTCGATATTTCTTAAAAGGGTAAAAATAAAATTAAAAACAAGTGAGGTTATGGTAATGACACAGCGTTGTGGAAGTGACGCCTGCGTTATGGTGATGACAATTGAAATCTACATCTGTGTTGAATGCTTATTTACGTAACACAATAGTAACTAACAAAAACTTTATTGCCGATAGAACATGAAAATACAATATTATAACTTTAATTGGTCATACTCAAACTGTTAAACATGAAAAAACTTAGTTGTAGTAAAACTGTAGATAAACATTCAAAATTTTGTAACATATAGAGCTAACACACATTAATTATAATTTAATTACCAAATGTGTAATAGTATCATATATGCGGCCATATTTGATAATATTTACTGAGTCTCTGGTTTGATAATCAAACAACGAGAGAAAAAACACTCAGAATTTATATAGGTCAGTCTTAAGAATCTAAATTCATTTCTGACACGATGCACTTCCAAATTATTGACGGAAGTTCACGGTGCCTGTTTGTGACCTTCTGTGGTTCTTCCTTGAGTAAAGTTACCACTTTCTGTTTATGGTACCATATCCTGTCCTCCAATAACGGCCAAAAAAATCTATTTACACCAATTCTGTGCATCACTTTAACCTCTAAATCATTTTCATCAACGTCAAGAATCAATCCTGGATATGGCATGTTCTCATATTCTACTACACAGTACAGTCCAATCAATGATTCTTCAACATTAAGAATTTTCTGAAGCACTGAGCTCTGAAAAAAATTAACACAATAATATCTTCATCATATTTTAAGATGAATACAGTTTATCATCGCATACTTTTATATGTGATAGATCTATGCAATTACATGTATAATTAAAATAAAAGTTCCATGGACATTCTGAAACCTGAATAACAATTCATAAATTATATATTGTAAGTTGATTTTTTAAACTCTCTTTCAAAAAACAGAATCATATTAAGCGTATAGATCTATATGTTAATAATTACCGAAATATTCGTTCGTACAGACACAGTGGTGCTAGCACATTCCACTTCAGCAGATGAATTTGGTGTCCCCTGAAAAGAGTTGTAATTTAGAGCTGTACTAAAATAACACACACAAATCAGGTATACTTATTGTAAAAAATTCTAATTAAGGCAATTCTGGTATATTAAACAACTATACTTGTTATATCTATAAAAGTAAAAAACTGAAGCTATAAATGTTTTACAATTTTTTTATGAATATCATCTACAAAAATGACTGTTGACAGTTTGAAAGAGCTACAATCTGATGGATATGTTTGAATTGAGTTTTGCTATTTGGCAAAGTATTACCTGTGACAGAAGTGTCGTAGATTTCATATTAAAACATTCGCAATTCTCTGAACAGAAACAACTCAAAACTCGAGATGACACAACTCCTTTCTGCTTAACAACAATCTGAAAACAAATTAAAGTTAAATTTATATCGACAATGTTATATCGTTTCTATCGTTCAAATGCTTTGTGATTATATTACAGCACATTTGAACTCGAACTGTGCATTATTCTACAACAAATCACTCAAAATTTAGATCTGTTTCCTAAATTTACTAACTATTGTCCTATTACAGTATAATTTTTGTTCTATTTCAATTAAAATTTTAATGAATTATCACTAAATAAACTGATAATGAAATTACGATATTACCTGATGTAGCTTCATTGTCTCTTTAACAGACGGAACATCATCATTAGCCGGTATAGTCTTTTCCACTTCACGAAAGTCGTTATCAGAAATCTCAATCAGTTCTATAGAAGTGCCGTATTTACGAATTCCTGTAAAATAACGATGAATAGGTTAAATCATAAAAAGCTAATTGAATCTTGTATAGCGAATGTATCGTTATGACTTGAAGTGGTTACAGACTATAAGTAAGCTATGATTTTTCTTCAGGCAGAACGATTTAAAGTATTTATAACTTATGAAAGATACAAAATAAAAATAATGTAACTGTAATAAACCGTAATTTAGAAGCCATTCTTATATCTGGTTGACGCATTTTTCACATCTGTATGATCACTGAATATTTGTTATATTGCCCTGTGCATTCAACTAGGAATTTATATACATACCTTCAATCAAATCTGCTGTTTTAGTGATATCTTGACCTTTAGTGTTCACAACAGTATCTGCTGTTCTTTTGATGACAGCACCGATGCCATCGGGGGCCCCCTTTCCATGGCTTGCTTCCATAAAGTTCCATGTTCCAGCAGAAAATCCGAGGTCAAAGAGTTTCGTGGAAAACATGTAGAAATTGGACTTACTCCTGTACTGGCTTGTTGGCCCATCAGATATAAAATGTAATATGTTTAAACCAGGGTTTAGTCGTTTCATTTGCTTTATAACTGGTTCAAGGTGGGCCCAGATTCCTACTACTTTATGGGAAGAATTGTCTGATATTGTAGCAAATGCTTTTGACTTCTGGTTAGTATAAGCCATCACGGTATGTATGGAAATTTGTCTCTTGGAGAACCCAAAGTGCACACTTTGTAGTTCACTCTTGTATTTACAAAGGTAATTTTCCGAAAAGTCTATATGCAATATTAATTCATTTGTTTTGCATGAATCTTTCAAGTGCTTCAACTGCAAGTATTGATGAGATATGTTGAATTCATGTCTTGCTAATCTCGTTATATCTTGTTGAAGTTCATTAACAAGTGTCGTTATTGTGCCTGTTTCAGTTTTCTTGATTGTTACGTTATGTTTGGTTTTGATAATTTCACCATTTTCAGATATTTTTTCTTTCTCGATCACATCAGATTTCCATTCCCTCCATTCAACTATTTTTCCATAATTTAGGTTTTCTGTTTCTGGTTTTGTGTTAATTTCTTTAAGCTTACACTGATTGCATTGTCTATACATACAATATTTGTTCTTTGTATCACATGTAATACATGAAATAAGTTGGCGTAGGTCTTTTGTTTCTAATACCTTTTCATCATATAATTTATTGACTTTCATAGTTGGGTTTTCGTGAGTTTTACAAAGGCATGTTTCTCTATCCTTCTCAGATGCTCTTATAACCCAAAAAGGTTTCATTCGTGCGAAAAGACTATAGCTTATCCGTTTGCCCGTTTCAAAAAGAAATTTTTCGTGTAGATGTTTAATACTGTCATTTAATAGCCTTATTTGTTTCTTTATCTTTCTTCGTGTAATGGTGTATTTTTTGCCTCCTTTAATTCTAGAGTTATCGTCTCTTTCAAAGAAATCATCTATACTAGACTTCAATATGGTTTGTTTTGTCATAGAAATAGTGCGTGACTTTCTGATACGGATTTCGTTTATTCCCGTCTTCTGTTTGGCATAATGCATGCTGATTTTGTATTTTCTAAGTATTGCTTCTCTGTACAGTAAATTTTTAATCAGTTGTTTCTCGGCAGTTTCTCCTTTCTTGTATCGTTTTCTTATGTTTCTCAACAACAGACAATAGTGTGTCAAATGTGTTTTCGTTTGTGCTTTCTTTTTCATAATTTTCTGTACTTCATTGTTTATTTCACTGTCAGATTCATCTTTCTTTCTTCTCATTCGATAATACCTTGATTTGTATTTATTCTTTAGTCTTCTTTCTTTATTTAGCTCAATTCTTAATTTGAACTGATCTCTGTAAGCTTTTGATCGATTTAAATTCTTCTTTTTTCTGCCTCTTAATCTGTTTGACTCACTTAATTGGTTACTTGAAGTTGAACTATACGGATCTGGTGAAGATGGTGGAGACAATTGTGCCTGTAAACCCTTCATTAGTTCTTTATCTTTTTTACGTTTAGATCTTTGGTTATATTTCCAGTTCCTCCTTCTTTTTCTTTGGTCTCTGACACTCAATTTAGAAATAGACTTTATTTGACCTGATTCTTTTCTCTTTTGGTACCTTTGTTTTTCTTTTTCTTTGTATGCTACGTGTTTTGCTGGGTCCTCTCTTTGTCGTTTTCTCCATAAGGCAGCGCGTTCTCCACTTGTGAGAGCCATGTTTCATAATGCTGTAGCTGATCACTGAAATTCGATATTTCACTTTTCTTCAGTTTTATACAATCTTGTAAAGTTTCAATTTCTTCTATAAAGTTTTGCACAGATTCAGGGTTTTTTTGTTTGATTTGTTCGATAAATAATTCTGCCTTTTTAATTTGATCATTCAGTATTTCTATCTGTTTCTTCACTCTATTGATGTGTTCTGTAATGAGAGAAAGTATCATGTCATTACCGAAACTTAATTTTACGGGTGTAAAATTGTCAATTGAAATGTTTTCAGTTGTTCTAAATATTTCTGATTTACAAGATTGATGCAAACCATCACTATGGTTTTTATTTAAAACACATACTTTTAGATAGAAAATGTGTTTTTGCTTGCAATTATGACATATTATTATCATAATATATCATATAAACTTCTTCAATAACTTGTTCTGAAAAAACTTATATCTTTTTTCTTAAATCCTGATAACAGTTCACCTAAACATATTAAGAAGAAAAAATTATCAGACAATATGACAAGACATCTCCATATTTATTAACACTTTAGTTAAAAAAGTCATCTCCGAAACATTTTTGTCATTACCAATGCATAAAACCCTGTTTCGGTAATGACTGTTGCGGTAATGACATTTTAAATATTTTTCTCAATAAGCGTCTGAATGGCCCAGACTGTGTAATGTTTACCGTTATATTTTTCAACGTACACATATTTTTATATACAAATATAGAGCGATTGTGAATAATAGTACAAATTTAGTTGCTATGTAACATTCGGTAATGACTAGATAAAAACATACGCATAAAAATCTGAAACTTACCTGGTAAATTTTCAGCGTCAGCCATTTGCATGTCACATGCGCCCAAAACAAATTTTCGCGCCGATTTCAACTTTTTTATGACGTCACGAGTTATTGACGAATAATAATATCGCTGTCGACTAATTGAGTTTATTTGTGACCGTTTTGGTAATGACATGAATTCAAGTTACCATAAAAAATGAAGTAAATAAATTGAATTGATGTAAATAATATATTTCTGGCTCAAAAATAGACATCTTATATGTCTATTTAATTCCTTTGAATACAAAAAAGAATTAAACTCTTTTTAACTAGACGCCCAGTAAGCGTATAAAGATGGATGTTAAAACAAGTGACATTGTTAATTTTGGACCCCTTGTGTGAACAAATCGCAATTTATTGGTCTTTTTGTGAGAAATGAAATAAAAATCAATCACTTTCTACCTTATAATTATGTTTAATTTATATAACAAATAACTTCGATTTCATTTTTATTTCATTTTCATTTAATAAGAACTCAAGGCGGAGTGACACCGTTTCGGCAAAAAATTTAGAATCACCCAACTCTAGCACCAATATTTTCAGATTTATCTCCCCTTGAACTTAGAATTTTCCTCAAAAAATACTATTTTTACTATTACTTCTTTATTTCTTAAGGAATCAACCTCATACTTCAAATATATGTACCTTATCATCATTCCCATCTTATGTGACAAGGTTCATAACTCTAGCACCAATATTTTCAGATTTATCTCCCCTTGAACTTAGAATTTTCCTTAAAAAATACTATTTTTTACTGTTTCTTCTTTATTTCTTAAGGGATCAACCTCATACTTCAAATATGTGTACCTTATCATCATCCCCATCTTATGTGACAAGGTTCATAACTTTAGCACCAATATTTTCAGATTTATCTCCCCTTGAACTTAGAATTTTCTTTAAAAAATATTATTTTTTACTTTAACTTATTTATTTCTAAAGGGATCAACTTCATACTTCAAATAAATGTACCTTATTATCATCCACATCTTATGTGACAAGTGTCATAACTCTAGCACCAATATTGAAAGAAATATCTCCCCATCAACTTAGATTTTGTTACTAGAAAAATGTTATTTTTTACTATAACTATTTTAGTTTTAAAGGTGTCTACCTCAAACTTCAAATACTTAGTCCTTGTAATCAATTATATTTTATGTGACAATGTTCATAACTCTTGAAGTAATTTTTACAGATTTTTCTCTCTTTGAACTTGGGATTTTCTTTAAGAAATATTATAACTTTGTTACTTTTTAAGGTATCTACTTCAAACTTCAAATATATACTTCTTATCATTACATACATGTTGTGTGACAAGGTTCATAACTCTAGCGTGACTATTTCTAGAATTATTTCCCTTGATCTTGGAATTTATTTTAACAAATGTTATTTTTTTACTATAACTTAATACATAATTATACATAATTGATTTTTCTTTCATAGTTTTGTCCTCCTTACTGCGTCCAGTATTTTATTAGTCGAGCTTGGCTATCTCCTGTGACAGCTCTTGTTGAAGTTGTCCGGGACATAACTCGGAAACCATAAGAGATATCAACAAGAATTTTTGTAGGTTGATAGATCACATTGATTAGAAGTGCAGTGCAAAGAGCAGTAACTCTTCCTTGCCTAGTTTTGGAATTAGTGCACTTTGAACTTTTTCCAGGGACATAACTCTGAAACTACAAGAGGTTTACTTTCCTGTATCCAAAACCTAGCCGGGGAGCATCACCCGGCTCAAACCGGACTCTTGTTTGTTCTGCTGTTCTTCTTACTGAAATGAGTCAGTTTTATTTCGCTTAAGGTTGTTTAATGTTAATAATTTCATGAAATTAAAATATGGATAAATCTCTATAACAACAGTTCTTATAGCCTCTACATACAAATTTATTTTCAGTGTGAATCGAATGGGAATAAGAGTTGCACAAATACATTTGTAAGAAACAAGTTCGAGAAAACACACTTTATTTTAAATAAGTAAAAATAGCACATGTTTAAAACAAAAAAGTAATTTATTGGTATCTTATATTAAATTAAACGAAGTAAGATGAAGTACTGGCATTGGTTATGGAATATTACAACTTAATATAAACATAGTAAGAAAGAATAAATAAATATTTAAGTAAAGAACTTTGATTTACTCACAGATGAATCAAATTTGTAGGAATATGATTTAAAATTAAGCAAATGAAAAGAACAAGTAGTCAAATGAATAAATACCCAAATTCTGCTCCCTATATTTTGGCCTAAGCTTTGCATAGATTCGGCGTTTCTCAGATATTTGACATGCAACATTGTCTAGTGGACCATTACCAACGTTTAGATGCATATATACATATATAAAATTTCAGTTAAGTGTGGTAACAACCTTTATTACAACATTCAGGATCTTTAAAGAACTAGTATTTTGACTTCCGTACAAAATACGTTGTATACTCATTCACTATGATTATACCCATTGCCAACAGAGCAAGACAAATGAGTTTTTGTTTTGTTTTTGTAAACTTCAACAAAAATAAAAAGTTTATTGAGAAATAAAAGTGATAGAATTTCCAAGGCACAATGTGCCTTTAAAATTTCTATTCCTCAAAAGCCATTACATCTAAATGTGATATATATTTGACATGAAGTATTGTGGACCTCTTTCAATTTTGTTCAAATTATATAAAATTGCTCCGCTCCGTTGGTCATGGATTTCCTTTTTATTCCGACCCTTTTAACGAAGAAAATGTTACAGTCATGGCGGCCTTGCTGTCCGCAAAGTCTTCATACTTGGTAACAAGAACCCTTTGTATAAGACCTTTAAGTAGGTTAGACGAAACTTGACTTTAATTCATAAATGACATTGACCTTTTAGACCATATATTTTACGTCTAATTACAACTCTTATGAAATTCTCTCATGTTTCATGTTCATGAAAGTCTTTGAGAGATTGTGGATAATAGAATGTGCAAGACGCTCCCTAGCACCGGTTTAAGCGGTATTCAATCCCCAACACTAAAGGTATTGGAATCACTGATACCGGGGGACCAGAAACAATATAACAACACTAGTGGTGTATGTATGTATTATATGCTTTATGAGGGTCCATTTGCCCGTGAAGACACAAAAGCAGCTTTTGCTGTCAATTATGGACCCCGGACATGTAACCAAACATGCCCTTAAAAGGTTAATTTTGAAGCACTAATGGTAATGCAATTTCCTCGGAGTTTAACCCAATGATATGAATTTTGACCTGTACGGCGGCCTATGAAAAACCCTGAAATGGACTGTTATGATAGCAAAGGGCCTTACACTCAAGCTGTCAGTGAAATACAAGAGTACAGGGCGATTTTTATACACACAACACTTAACGCCTGTTGTACAAGGGAGATTCATCTGGAACGATGAGAAAATGAAAACTAATATTGATATTTGTATACCTGTTTATGGGAGATATTGCAAGGTGTACTCTCTTTTCAAGTTTACAATGACACACTTTGAAAGCCAAATATTGACATATGATACATTTTTTGTATTTATTTGATGACTACAATTGATGTTATTTAGGCATGGTTTCTTAAATGCGTATAAAATTAATAAATATTTATTCAGAGTGTATGCCAAGTATTTTAAAATATTAATATAATCCAACTTTCCTGATTCATGTTTTATCAGATGTTATTTTGCTCTAAAACGCTCATATACATTACAATTTTATCATATGCATTATAGAATTATGAATAGTATACTTTCTAAATTGAATTTATTTTACATGCAGCACTTCCATGGATATTTTTCAATTGATATTTTCAACCTAGAAGCGGCTGCAGCGATTAAATTTTCAACATAACTTCTCAATTTGTTTTTAATTATTTAGAACTGTCAAACATGTGGTTAAAATGTTGTAATTGTGAATTTAGAGCGTTTTAGATGTTAAACAGCTGAAGAAACGCGACATATTGATTGTTCATACAAAACGACTGTACCCTTTTTAAGGGTCAAAGGCCTCTGTCAATAACTTGACAAATTTGAAATGATGATGCAATTTGGTGAGTTCTGTCACCCAAAATCAACTGTCATTCAAATTATCTCTTTAGATAACTACCCGGCACTTAACGGTTGGAACGCGTTGTTCTTTGGACAACTCTTGTTATAATATGATCCTTCCTAAGTTTAATTAAAACATTTTAAAACTGTACAAGTCATTATATCGAAACCATTTACAGGTCATCACATTAAAACTATGTACAGGTAATCACCACAAGTCATACTAAAATATTCGCCTAAGGCTTTAAATCAAGGGCGTGTTCTGGTTGTTAATATTCTATTATTTCTAGGTTCTATTCTTGATGTTGCATATGAGATATACTTATGCTACAAAGATTGCAAATATATATTCAACTTTATATATATATTTTATGTAA